ATCAAATTCCGAGCCAATGATATAAATTCTGGGTGGCATTGTGGTGTGGTGGTTAGCACCATCGCCTCACAGTAAGGGGGTTCTGGGTTCGAGTCCCTGGACGAACCAGGACCTTTCTATGTCGAGTTTGCATGTTCTCTATGGGTTCTTTCTGGGTTCTCTGGCGTCTTCCCACTGTCCAAAAACCTGCATGTTGGGTTGATTGGACATTCCAAATTGCCCTTAAATGTGAGTGTGCGTGGTTGTTTGTTTTTGTGTGTCTCTGTGTGACCCTCCGATGGACTAGTGGGTGTGTCCAGGGTGTAGGCTGCGTCTCGCTCATTGACTACTGGGATAGGATGATATCAATTTTCATTCTGTGCCATTTAAAAGGTTTTTCTACTATAAAAGAAACAATCTTTAAATGACTACCAAAGGATAAATATTCTTTTCCTTCTTTCTTTTGATCACTTTGTTAATTTTAGGGTGTGGCTGATCACTCAGGCAAGGGGACGATTTTTACTTGCTCTGCCAAGTAGGAGATATAAACAGAGACCCCAAAACAGGAATAAAATGGCTAAAATACTGCAGCATTATGATCAGCTCTGACTGAAAGAAAGAATTTTATAACACAAAATGCAACAGTTAATAATGCATATTTGTCTTCTGCTTTAAATGCGTTTTTTGTCAGGACGGGTTCTTGAGGGAGGACTCAGTCGCGGAATGAGGGGAACAAGGTTTATTGCACAAAAAAACAGAGTGAATGTCCAGACAAAGTACAAAGCAAAGCTGTGGAAAACTGTGATCAAAGTAACAAAGCAATGAGCAAACAAGACTGGGTAAAGTAACAAAATAACGATTGACAAAACTGTGGCAAAACTGTGACTATGACTGAGGCAAAAACTGTGACAAAAGACAAAAGCAAACCTGGCGTGGGGGTGACGAAGGACAAAAGACGAAAGACGAAAACGCACTCGCCCAGACAAGGGGAAACAGGACTATTTAAACACACGAGGGAGGGGAACCCCAGGTGTACACAATAGGTAATCATGACATGACGAGACACCAGATGTGACATTTTTGTGTTTATGGTTCATTCCTGTGTGTTGTTGCTAATCAGGTGGGAGGACTGGAGGGGATCGTTTCTCTGTTGCTTCTGTCCTTGCACCCTGCTGGAAGTATTCTCCTCAAAATGTCATCAGCTGCTGGATACAGGATACATTGTTGCGAGAAAGCAGCTAGGATAACCAGTAACTGACAGAAACTTTTAAACGGAATAAATATCATGATGTCGTTGTGGCACAATAAACAATAGCTATTTGGACATGGTATGACACACAGTACAATGCATTGATTATCTGCAACATTTCAATTTCATTTTCCATTTGAAAAGAAGAGCTTTTAAGATGTATTGTTTTGCTTTACTTTTATATTTTGTATTTCTCTTTTAAAAATGACTTGGAAATGGCAAACAAATACTTTGTGAAAAGAATGAAAGTACATCTTCCAAAAGTTGTTTTTGCCCCTATCACATGTCCCAGTGTACAGCATGTGCAATTTTCTCAGTGTGAATGGAAAACAAATGATCCCACAGGACACATACTCAGACCTCTTGACCAAATAAGTTCATGTCATGTGCAATACACTTGCCTTTCCCCCGCATGTACGCCATTTAACACGTACATGAAACACATGAGTGATGGCAAAAAATGTTAAATCAAGCATGCATCATTTTATGAAAAGACTCCCCCACATTACACGTGCTGTCCCCTCGTACACATAAGAATGGTTAAGTGTCATGTGAAGTCACATGACAGTTGGCAACTGTTAGCATGATCATTGCTGACCTTAGAACCACTAAAAATAGACCAAGGTTGAATTTGCAAGTTCAAATTCTCAACATACACCCTTACTGACTTTATGTGGGCATGTTTGCATTGGCAAGGTTGCATGTG